ATGGAGCACCGTTACCTTCCTGCCGGAGCGGTACCTATTGATCTACTCACATTTGCATGTTTTCGAACTGCTAGGTTGGCAGAAGCTAGGGCTGACAGCGGAAGCTCACGCCGCTCCCCAGAATCGAACCTGCGACCTTTCAATCAACAAGCTCAGCAGCTCAGTGTATATATATAAACCCAATTTTCCTAGTTTCTAATAGACCTCCCAACCTCTGAGGATGCCTGGAATAGATGTGGGCGAAACATCAGGAGGGAATGCTTCTGAAACATGGCTCTACGGCCCTGAAAACTCACAGCAACCCAATCAAAGCCCTCTCGGCAGGTGGCCATCCAACCTCCAAGGAGGTAGAAGGAAATCACCAAAGGCAGGCGTCCGGGTTACATACCGAGCTCTTTTGTAAACAAAGGTGCGCTTGGGGAAAAAATGGCATGCAGAGGAAAGGAGACAGCCCAGAAAAATAGGTTTTGTAAGTCCCATCGCATTGAGGGTAAATAAGACCAAAGTCCGAAGCGTGTTTGCATTCGACAGGGTCAGAAATTCCAGAAGATTGGCCAAGCAGGGCTCTGAGATCTTTGATGCTCCTCTGAACTAATCTTGCAAATATAATCTGCATTATATGGGGTTGCACCAGGCATGGGCAAACTTCGGCCCTCCGGGTGTTTTGGACTTCAACTCCCACAATTCCTAACAGCCGGTAGGCTGTTAGGAATTGTGGGAGTTGAAGTCCAAAACACCCGGAGGGCCAAAGTTTGCCCATGCCTGGCCTATACTCACCATATCATGTGGCTGTGCTTTGGCACAAAACTGCTTCGTAGGCAATAGTGTCTCAAGCAGATTTCCCGTGTTCCTTCCTTTGCATTAAAACTCTGCAAGTTTCCCGATTCGTGTCTTACTTGCTCTGCCAAACAATGGCCATCCAAGCTTGGAATTGATGAGTTACAGAGTAGTTGCTTGCTGTTAATTACTTTCTATATGGCTGGAGGTGAAGTGAGAATATCCCATTGGTTAGTAGACAGCAGAGCCCAGAACTGATGACCCACAGTGAACTAGTTACTTGTAATTAATTACTGAGTTACTGATGAGCTACAGTGAACTAGTTACTAGTAATTAATAATTGAGTTACAGAGGACAAGTTGCTTGATGTTAGTTACTTTCTATATGGTTGGAGGTGAAGTGAGAATATCCCACAGGGGAGCCTGGAACTGATGAGCTACAGCAAACTAGTTACTAGTAATTAATTATTGAGTTACAGAGGACAAGTTGTTTGCGGTTAGTTACTTTCTATATGGCTGGAGGTGAAGTGAGAATATCCCACAGGAGAGTCTGTAACTGATGAGCTACAGCGAACTAGTTACTTGTAATTAATTATTGAGTTACAGAGGACAAGTTTCTTGCTTTTATGTTTCTATATGGATGGAGGTGAAGTGAGAATATCCCATTGATTAGTAGACAGCAGAGCCTGGAATTGATGAACTACAGCGAACTAGTTACTTGTAATTAATTACTGAGTTACAGAGGACTAGTTGCTGTTAATTACTTTCTATATTGCTGGAGGTGTAGTGAGAATATCCCATTGGTTAGTAGACAGCAGAGCCTGGAACTGGTGAGCTACAGCAAACTAGTTACTTGCATTTAATTACTGAGTTATAGAGGACTAGTTGCTTGCTATTAGTTACTTTCTATATGATTGGAGGTGAAGTGAGAATATCCCTTTGGTTAGCAGACAGCAGAGCCTGGAACTGATGAGGTAGAGCAAACTAGTTACTTGTAATTAATTACTGAGTTACAGAGGACTAGTTGCTGTTAATTACTTTCTATATGGCTGGAGGTGAAGTGAAGAATATCCCATCGGTTAGTAGACAGTGGAGCCTGGAACTGATGAGCCACAGTGAACTAATTACTTGTAATTAATTACTGAGCTATAGCAAACTAGTTACTTGTAATTAATTACTGAGTTACAGAGGACTAGTTGTTTGCTGTTAGTTACTTTCTATATGACTAGAGGTGAAGTGAGAATATCCTATTGGTTAATAGACAGCAGAGCCTGGAACTGATGAGCTACAGCAAACTAGTTACTTGTAAATAATTACTGAGCTACAGCAAACTAGTTACTTGTAATTAATTACTGAGTTACAGAGGACTAGTTGCTTGCTGTTAGTTACTTTCTATATGGCTGGAGGTGAAGTGAATAATATTCCATTGGTTAATAGACAGAGCCTGGAACTGATGAACTACAGTGAACTAATTACTTGTAATTAATTACTGAGCTACAGCAAACTAGTTACTTATAATTAATTACTGAGTTAAAGGGGACTAGTTTCTTACTGTTAATTACTTTTTATATGGCTGGAGGTGAGTGAGAATATCCCACAGGAGAGCCTGGAACTGAGCTTCAGTGAACATTACTTACTTAATTACTCAGTTACAGAGGACTAGTTGCTTGCAGTTAGTTACTTTCTATATGGCTGGAGGTTAAGTGAGAATATCCCACAGGAGAGCCTGGAACTGATGAGCTACAGTGAACTAGTTACTTGTAATTGATTACTGAGTTACAGAGAACTAGTTACTTGTTGTTCATTACTCAAACTGCATTGTTCCTACAGTGTAGCTGCATCCTGTTAGCTCTGCTTCCCTTTTCTATTCGATGCAATGCAATCCTGGGAGTTGTAGTTTCACGTCTCTGCCAAAGGGTCTGAGGTCTCCCCAAACTACAAATTCCTTTTCCAGGGAAAAAGAAAGACCAAAAAAGGGGGAGCTACAGGTGGAATCTGGCCTAGCCTTTCTCTGCCCAGGATGACTTTCTCACAGAGGTATTTTTAGCCGCAAGCAACACAAAAAAAATCCAGGAAAGGCCTTTGTGCCGAGAGACACTGCGCCCTTTGTTCCGGCTTCTGGGAAGGAGGCTGCGCAACCTCCAACAAACACCCCTCCTTTCCTGCTTCTTTGCAAAGGCCCCTTGGAAACTGCTTTTTGAACTGTTTTGAACTGCTTTATATGGTCAATGTAGACCCATACGTTGATCTATATCACGTCTGCACAACCTGTAGCCATCCAGGTGTTTAGGACTCCAACTCCCAGAATTCCTAGCCAGCTTGTCCAATGGCCAGGGATTTTGGGACCTGAAGTCCACAATTGCTGGAGGACCGAGGGTTGTTCAGGTCCCTATATATATATATATATATATATATATATGTATGTAGATTCATATATATTGGTCTGTATGGTCAGTGTTGATCCCTGGATATTGGCCTATGTGGTCAATGTAGACCCCTATATCTTGGGCTATATGGTCAATGTAGACCCCTATATTTTGGACTATATGGTCAGTGTTGAGGCCCATATATTGGCCTATATGGTGAATGTAGACTTTTATATCTTGGTCTGTATGGTAAATGTTGATCCCTATATTTTGCCCTATGTGGTGAATGTAGACCCCTATATCAGCCTATATGGTCAATGTTAATCCCTACTGTATATATTGGCCTATATGGTGAATGTAGACCCCTATGTCTTGGGCTATATGTTCAGTATTGATCCCTATATATATTGGCCTATATAGGGAATGTAAACCCCTGTATCTTGGTCTATATGGTCAATGTTGATCCCTATGTATTGACCTCTATGATTAATGTAGACCTCTATATCTTGGACTATATGGTTAATGTTGATCCCTATATATTGGCCTATCTAGTGAGTGTAGACCCCTACATCAGTCTATATGGTCAGTGTTAATCCCTATATATTTCCCTATATGTTTAATGTAGACCCTTATGTCTTAGACTATATGGTTAATGTTGATCCCTATATATTTCCCTATATGGTGAATGTAGATCTTGGACTACATGGTTAATATTGATCCTTATATACTTCCCTATATGGTGAATGTAGACCTCTATATGTTGGTCTATATCATCAGGGTAGACCTCTATATCTTCATCTATATGGTCAATGTAGACTCATATAGTGGTCTATATGGTCAATGTTGATCCCTATATATGGGCCTTTATGGTGAATGTAAACCCCTATATCTTTGCCTATATGGTGAATGTAAACCCCTATATCTTCATCTATATGGTCAATGTAGACTCATATAGTGGTCTATGTGGTCAATCCTTATATATTGGCCTTTATGGTGAACATAAACCCCTATATCTTCGCCTATATGGTCAATGTAGACTCATATAGTGGTCTATGTGGTCAATCCTTATATATTGGTCTTTATGGTGAACATAAACCCCTATATCTTCACCTATATGGTGAATGCAAACCCCTATATCTTCATCTATATGGTCAATGTAGACTCATATAGTGGTCTATGTGGTCAATCCTTATATATTGGTCTTTATGATGAACGTAAACCCCTATATCTTCACCTATATGGTGAACATAAACCCCTATATCTTCACCTATATGGTCAATGTAGACTCATATAGTGGTCTATGAGGTCAATCCTTATATATTGGCCTTTATGGTGAATGTAAACCCCTATATCTTTGCCTATATGGTGAACATAAACCCCTATATCTGCATCTATATGGTCAGTGTTGATCCTTATATATTGGCCTATATGGTGAACGTCAACCTCTATATCTTCATCTATATGGCCAATGTGGACTCATGCATTGGTTTATACTGACCATATAATGCAGTTTCAGACTCTGTTTCATGACAATGTAGGTCCAGCCATAGTTGCCAACTTGTGCTATATATCTTCTGGATTGAGAGAAGGCGCCATAGGTGCAGAGCATCACGAAAAGTTCCATCCGATCTCCACCTTGTGGTCGGATGGGGCATAACACGTTGTGTTGAAGTCTAGCCTTTAATGTATATTGTTTTTTTCAGCTGTTATTGGGAGAAAAGGTGGGTCACAAAGGAAATGTATGCAATGGTTTCAACTATATCTTGGTCAACTATTTATATATTTAATGCTGTTTTAATATTGTTTGGCCTCGCAGCTTTTGTTTACCTGCTTCTCTTCTTCCTTGGCATTTTCGCAGGGGTCCTGACGGCGGGAGAGCACACCTTCCCTTTCCAGTTCCTTCTCCCAGGTATGTTCCAAGTCTACACACTGTGCAAAAAGGCTTTCATGGATGGACTCAATGGGTTGCTGTGAGTTTTCTGGGCTACATGGCCATGTTCCAGAAGCATTCTCTCCTGATGTTTTGCCCACATCTATAGCAGACATCCTCAGAGGTTGTGAGGTCTGTTGGAAAGTAGGCAAGTGAGTGGGTTGTTTTAGTTCTTTTTGGGCTGTATGGCCATGTTCTAGGAGCATTCTCTCCTGACGTTTCACCTGCATCTATGTCAGGGTTGTGAGGTCCCAAAAAACCAATGACAACCCAGTGATTCCAGCCATGAAAGCCTTCAACCGTACATTAGGCAAGTGAGGTTTATATACCTGTGGAATATTGTCCAGGGTGGGAGAAAGAACTCTTGTCTGTTGGAGGCAAGTGTGAATGTTGCTATTGGCTACCTTGATTAGCATTAAATGGCCTTGCAGCTTCAAAGCCTAGCTGCTTGCTGCATGGGAAAATCCTAATTGGGAGGTGGTAGCTGTTTCCACAACAAGCCAATTCAACCAATGTTTTTGAAAGCTTTCATGGTCGGAATCACTGGGTTGCTGTGAGTTTTCCAAGCTGTCTGGCCATGTTCCGGAAGCATTCTCTCCTGACGTTTCGCCAGCATCTATGGCAGGCATCATCAGAGGTTGTGAGGTATGCTAGAAACTAGGCAAGCACGGTTTATATGTCTGTGGAATAATGTCCAGGGTGGGGGAAAGAACTCTTGTCTATTGGATGCAATTGTGAATGTTGCAGTTGGTCAACTTAATTACAAGAGTTCTTTCTCCCACCCTGGGCATAAAGACAAGAGTTCTTTCTCCCACCCTGGGCATAAAGACAAGAGTTCTTTCTCCCACCCTGGGCATTTTCCCACCGGTATATTTTTCCACTTGCCTAGTTTCTGACAGACCTCACAACCTCTGAGGATGCCTGCCATAGATGTGGGCGAAATGTCAGGAGAGAATGCTTTGTTTTTGTGACTGCTACAAACTGGTTGAGACGCAATGAGATCATCATTGAAAAACAAGAGCAAAATGTGCTCTAGCAGGATGTCCCTCCCGCAAAGACAATAAACTTTTTCAATGTTTTTGTAATAGAACCGAGGAACAAAATAATAATAATAATAATAATAATAATAATAATAATAATAATAATAATACAACTGGAAAAGCTGACACGATATGAGGGTTTAAAGATCAAACTGCAAAGACTCTGGCACAAGCCAGTAAAGGTGGTCCCAGTGGTGATCTGCACTGATATGGGTGCAGTGCCTAAAGACCTTGGCCTGCACTTAAATACAATTGGCGCTGACAAAATTACAATCTGCCAGCTGCAGAAGGCCACCTTACTGGGATCTGCACGCATTATTCGCTGATACATCACACAGTCGTAGACACTTGGGAAGTGTCCGATGTGTGATCAATACAAAAGCCAATACAAAAGCCAGCAGAGAAATCTTGATTGCTGTGGACTCATCTTGTTGTGTTTCGAATAATTAATAATAATAATAATAATAATAATAATAATAATAATAATAATAAACTGGAAAAGCTGACACGATATGAGGGTTTAAAGATCGAACTGCAAAGACTCTGGCACAAACCAGTAAAGGTGGTCCCAGTACTTTACTTACTTACTTAGGTGATCCCTCGTAGTCCGAGGATGATGGTCCTCCAAGTTCGGTGTCCTGGGGGTGGGTTTGTAGGTGGCTGTGGAGTCCTATTCTTGACCTGCATCTTCTCCCACAGTGAGGGCATTGGTTTCTAGGTAGGAGGCGGTCTCGGTCGGGGTTGGCTTGACACACCTTCCTCTTGGCACGTTTCTCTCTTTCACCCTCCATTTGTGCCTCTTCAAATTCTGCAGCACTGCTGGTCACAGCTGACTGTCACACTGGTGGTCCCAGTGGTGATTGGCACACTGGGTGCAGTGCCTAAAGACCTTGGCCTGCACTTAAACACAATCGGCGCTGACAAGATTACCATCTGCCAGCTGCAGAAGGCCACCTTACTGGGATATGCACACATTATTCGCCGATACATCACAGAGTCCTAGACACTTGGGAAGTGTCCGATGTGTGATCCAATACAACAGCCAGCAGAGTGTCTGCTGTGGACTCATCTTGTGGTGTTTCAAATAATAATAATAATAATAAATAATAATAATAATAACGATCTGTCAACTGCAAAAGGCCACCTTACTTGGATTTGCAAACATCATTCAAAAATACATCACACAGTCCTAGACTTTTGGGACGTGTTCGACTTGTGATTTTGTGATACGAAATCCAGCATATAGATCTCGTTTGCTGTGACATACTGTACTTTTGTGTCAGTATAATAATAATAATAATAATAATAATAATAATAATAATAATTATTATTATAGCCCCCGGTGACGCAGTGGGTTAAACCCCTGTGCCGGCAGGACTGAAGACCGACAGGTCGCAGGTTCGAATCCGGGGAGAGGCGGATGAGCTCCCTCTATCAGCTCCAGCTCCTCATGCGGGGACATGAGAGAAGTCTCCCACAAGGATGATAAAAACATCAAATCATCCGGGTATCCCCCTTGCAGATGGCCAATTCTCTCACAACAGGAGCGACTCCTGACACGATATGATGATGATGATGATGATGATACTAATAATAATTCTTCTCCTTAATATTAGCCTCTGCTCCCACGTCCTTCGAAGGGCCCTTTGGAAAAGTCTTGCACCAGATCAAGGCTGTGATCGAGACGCCCCGGTTCTCTAAGGATCACAAATGCGGCAAGATCTTCTATGTCCTCTGCCCGCTGAACCTCAACGACATCCCGGAAATCGAGGTAAGAGGAAGATGGGACAGAAGGATAAAGCGTAGTCCCCAAAGCCCTGTCGAAGTGCAACTCCCATTAGCCACAGCTAATGGGGATGTAGTTCAGCACATTCTGGGGATTCTGTTGTGTTTTGGTTTCAACTTAGGACAACTTTTCAGGCAGGCATCTAAGACCAAACCACTACTCGTTCCAAGTTCGTCCCTTTCATGGTTGAGAAGCTCCTATGGCCAGCATCTTCCTCTGAGTTTTCCTCGGAGAGATAGGCTCATAAAACTGGCAGGTGGATCATGTTCTCTCCTCACTGCTCTCGTTCTTGCCTTCCTTTCCGCAGCAGCCCAACACAACATCCATCACGAAGAAGTTCAACTACAAGCTTGTGAAGACTGGCAACATGGTTTTGACGACCACCACGGACCTCAAGGGCTATGTCGTGGGTCAAGTCATTCAGTTGCGAACGGACATCGAGAATAAGTCTGGCCGGGACACCAGCACCATCGTGGCGAGTCTCATCCAGGTAACGGGGTTGAAAGTTTTGCTCTTGCACATCGAAGTTTGCAACTTAGGGATGTGCCAATGTGGAGTCGGCTCTCCATATTGGCACGCTGCACTTTCTAGGATTTCATTCACAGGCCGTCCCCGAGTTACAAACATCCGACTTACAAATGACTCAATAATTACAACTGGGGGTGAGACAACAGGAAGTGAAAGAAATCTGCCCCTTGGAAGGAAGGGAAATCCACTTCTGGAAAAGTTACGAGGGTTGAATGAAAAGTAATGCCTCGCTACTTGGGTTTGGATGGGAACATTTTAATAAATCAAACACAGAAATAATCCTTAGAATGCCCAGGCAAGGAATGATTCCCCTAAGCTTTCTCTCTCTCCATTTGCTTCCCCCACAGAAAGTTGCCTACAAATCCAAGCGGTGGATTTACGACTTGAGGACCATCGCGGAAGTGGAGGGCTCACCCGTGAAGGCGTGGAAGCGAGCGGAATGGAAAGAGCAGATCCTGGTGCCGGCTTTGCCCCAGTCCATTCTGCAGGGCTGCAGCCTTATCCACATTGACTACTACATCCAGGTGAGGCCTTACGAAATTTCTGGTAAGACTACTGTGTGGCTCCCATATCCATAAGGGGAAGCATTCCTGGCCAGATCACAGTTGGCACCATTTTCTGGATTTATCTGGTGGGCTACATGAATAATTTCAGCATGGCTTAAGTGACATAGGACACATTCCAGAAAAGAGAGAGAGAAAATAGACACAACAACGGGCATTCAGGAAAGAGGGGAAAGGGATTCCCTCAGCTTAGCTTGATTCCATCTATCTGCTTCTCATTGAGGACTTGAGGAGTGTGAGGTTGAATTCCAACATAAAGTGTGTTCACCCTTCCTTTCCCCGCTCCCAGGTTTCCCTCAAGACTCCTGAAGTTTCCGTGGCTCTCCCCATTTACATCGGCAACATCCCCGTGAACCGGATCCCGCTCAGCCCGGCCCGGATGGTGCCCCAGCTTCCCTCACCGGTGGTCCCCAGCGCACCACCCGAGGACGAGGAGGCAACCGGCGGATACCCTCACCCCATGGACAACGTCTCCATCCCCACCAAGAGCCACTCGCAACAGCAACCCTTCAGCTACGCGCCAGGCTTGAACTTCCCGGAGGCCAGGCTGGACTCAGAGCAGAGCAGCTCCCCAAACCACCCCACCCTTTGCCTCTCCACGGGGGCCACGGTCCCCTATTTTGCTGAAGGGACCGTTGTGCCCATGGCCACGGCCAGCTCCCTCATCTTGCCTCCGGAATATAGCACTTGGGGATACCCCTATGGTAAGTGAGGCCTCGGCCTTGGAGGAAAATCTCCCCCACTGCTTCAGACAGGATGAGTGTGTTTCTTCAGTTCTAAGACATGCTCCCTCCCCCATATAAACATCTCTAAAACGGGGTGCATCTTAGCATTGTAGTGCACACATGTGTGTGTATTTATCTATCATCTATCTATCTATCTATCTATCTATTGTTCATAAGTTACAGACTGCATGTATGTATGTATGTATGTTTGTATGTATATAAGCACTACAATGTTAAAATGTATCTGCGCATTTTAGTGTGTGTGTATGTATGTATATATATATATATATATATATATATACACACACACACACATACATACACACACACACACACACACACCTGTCTGTATGTATATCAATATGTATATATGTGTGTATTGTTTGTAACTTGGGGACTGCCTGTATGTATGTATGTATATAAGCACTACAATGCTAAGATGCATTGTATATATACAATGTGTGTGTGTGCATATATATATATATCTGTGCATTTTAGTGCATATATTTGCACACACACATCTGTATGTATATCTATATGTATATATGTGTGTGTATTGTTTGTAACTTGGGGACTGCCTGTATGTATGTACGTACGTATGTATGTATATATGTATATACGCACTATAATGCTAAGATGCATTGTATATATACAATGTGTGTGTGTATATAGATAGATAGATAAATCTGTGCATTTTAGTGCATATATATGCACACACACGTCTGTATGTATATCTATATGTATATATATATGTGTGTGTGTGTGTGTGTGTGTGTGTTGTTTGTAACTTGGGGACTGCCTGCCTGTATGTATGTATGTATATAAGCACTACAATGCTAAGGCACACCTCAGATGCATTGTTTATATACAGTGCATATATATATATATATATATATATATATATGTATATGTATATGTATATGTATATGCATATGCATATGTATATATGTGTATATATACATATATGCATTGTAGTACTTATATATACATATACACGTGTGTGTATGTGTGTGTGCATGTGTGTGTATGCACACACATATATATGTGGTTGTAACCTCGAACACTCTTCTGGGACAGCCCCACATAGTGTGCATTACAGTAGTCTAGTCTGGAAGTGACTAAGGCATGTACTACCATGGCCAGATAGGGCTTTTCATGGTATGGGCGCAGCTGGTGCACAAGCTTTAACTGTGCCAAGACCTTCCCGGCCACCACCGATACCTGGGTCTCCCGGGTCAGCACTGAGACCAGGAGGACCCCCAAGCTGCGAATCTGCACCTTCAGGGTGAGTGTGACTCCATCTAGCACAGGTTGCAGCCCAATACCCTGATCAGCCCTACAACTGAAAAATAGTACAGTAGAGTCTCGCTTATCTGACCTTCACTTATCCGACATTCCATGTTATCTCATGCCCTCTTTTTCCTCTAGCTTTTCCCTTCAATTAAAGTAACGCTCCACAACTTTCTCTCCATTCCCAATATGAGAAAAGGGCAAGAAAAGGAGGAGGAGGGAGGAAAAGGGGGAAAAGGGGCAGGACTGGAAGCGGAAGCATCCTCCCTCATTGCCTCCGTGATTTCCACGCTCCTCTTTCACATCCGGACACTTTCTGCTGTGCCACTCTAGCCCCGGGGCGTTGCCTTGTTTTAACTCTTTGAGTCCTTGTTGTTAGTATTCTAGGTGTCTAGCGCCATGTTGGACAAGTAACAGTAGGAGACTTCGTATTATCCAACATTTTTGTTTATCTGACATTCTGCCAACCTGTTTATGTCAGATAAGCAAGACTCTCCTGTACCTCTATCTTGTTCATTCTCATCCATGCAGTCATTCTCTGGCTGATGAACTTAAGAAGAATTAATTGAAAATGCTGGATTTTGGAGGAGGGGGAGGAGGATGGATTCAATGGGTCTGAAGTGCTGTATGTTTTCTTTCTGCAGAGGCACCCCCTTCATATGAACAGAGTTGCAGCAGCGCCGCCTCCAGCCTCAGCAATGGCAACTAGACCTGGGTCAGGAGCCCATTTGGACCATTCTCAAACAAGAGGGATAGCACCAAGGGTTGCGCGGAAAGGAGAAGGGTCTCTTGCCAAGAACAGCCTGAGGCGCCCGGCAAGTGCTTGACGCCCTGCCCTGGTTGCCTTGCCTATCCGCCTCGGCCCCTGTACTGTACAGTTCCACTCTCTTAACCTGCTGCTTCGATGATCCGAGCAACCGCGATGCCTTATCTGGAATGCGACCGAGTTCCGTGTGTGTGAATGTACATATATGTCCATTTGGTTTCTGGTTTTAGCCCATCTCCTTACCTTCTGTGAAATGGGGATAAAGGATAAAGTTTGAGCTCTCATACCTATGAGTGAACCAAACAGAGACGTATCGGTTCACAGCTTCCCTACCCAGCTCACAAAGCAAGAGTGGCGGGATGTCATTGGACTCCAACTTCCATCATCCCTGGCTGTAGTTCTGGGGTGTTAGAGTTCCGGATAAAGGTCACCTGATGGTTCCTGTGTCATTGGAAACCCATCCTCATTGGAAATCCATCCGCACCCTAGCTTTCGAAGAGTTCTCCAAGGTGCTGAAACGTAGCCTTCAAATAAGCTCTCATAGCTACGAGTGAGCCAAACAGGACCTTTGGGAGATGTACCAGTTCACAGCTTCCTTATCCTCCCAGCAAGTGGTGGGATGCCATTGGACTCCAACTCCCATCAATTCCCATCCTAGCTTTAGAAGAACTCTCCAAGGTGCTGAAGCATAGCCATCTAATAAGCCCTCATATCTACAAGTGAGCCAAACAGGATCTTGGAGAGATGTACAAGTTCATAGCTTCCTTATCCTGCTCACAAAGCAAGTGGTGGGGTGCCATTGGATTCCCAACTCCCATCAATCCCCATTCTAGCTTTAGAAGAGCTCTCCAAGGTGCTGAAACGTAGCCATCAAATAAGCTCTACAAGTGAGCCAAACGGGACCATGGAGAAACGTATTGGTTCACAGCTTTCTTAAACTGCTCACAAAGCAAGTGGCGGGGTGCCATTGGACTCCAACTCCCACCATCCCTTGCTGGAGTCCCTGGTGTTAGAGATCTGGTATAGGTCATCTGATGACTCCTGTCAGCTGGATTGGAAATCCACCCCCATTCTAGCTTTAGAAGAGCTCTCCATGGTGCTGAAACATAGCCATCAAATAAGCTTAGGACCTTGGATAGCTCCTGTTCAGGACCTGGAGCAGATTCCCTTTCCCTCTAAGATGAAGGCTAGTCTTCATCCTGATTGTGAATGGATAGCCGTAGTCTGTCCACATCGTGTTCAATGCTTGCCCTCCATCTCTTCCCTTCCACTGGCCATCCAATAGTTCACGAGAGCATCAGGAGTGGAATTAATATCCTACCAAAATAGGGTAGCTTCAAAATACTCCAAAATGTGGCATGAACTCATTTGCTTGTTCTGTTTTGCTTTGAATTCATCCATCTTTGTTCATCAATGCTCCCCTTCATCTGCCGGGCTTTTGGCAGCCATATTTGTTGTCGGTACCAGGGGTGCCATTTCCATCAGCACAATGGGGGAGAATGGGATTTGTCATCCCAACAACGTACGCTCATTTCCAAAATTGCAGACAAATAAAAGAGTATTTATAATTTCTTCTCATTCTCCCTTCTTCCTACCATCCATGGCTTTCCGTTGTCTGGAATCCAGTGAGTGACTGGCCTATCTATTATTGACTATGCTGCTTGGAGTTATTACACGGGCTTGGGGGAAAATAATAATAATAGTAGACCCAAGCTTTGTTGTGATTTGCTCAAACCACACTGGCTGGCCCAGATCTGCCCCAAAGACCCTTCCCGGTCCCAGCATCTTTTCTCCCCATAGAGATCCTATATGACGTCTGTCTTTTCCTTGCCTCCAAACGTCACTGACAATCCCAATTCTACCTCTTCCCATGGAAGTGATCCCGAATAGCAGTCCTATTCCCCGTATTAAAAGGAAACAAAGTCTAAAAATATTACAGTTTGGATCAGACTCATCATAGAGGGTATAGGATGGCACCAAGAACGGAATCGTACCCTGAGGCATAGCTAAAGGAGACCCAATGGAGCGTAACATACGTGTTGGTGCACCATTCGTTTGATGGTTCTACTCTACTTGGGACTTCATGGTGGGCTCCCATTCTGTGTCCTATATTTTTTTCTCCACCCATATGTGACCAAGCAAGATCTTCAGGCATCCCAGCCTCCGGAACCATTGTGGGAGTTACATTCCTGCAAAAAGGTGGTTGTTTTGATCTCCTCGTTCTCTCCTTCCCCATGTCTGTGGGCCCATGCTCCATCAGCTTCCCCGCCCAGTGCCTTCCCAGTTTGAGCTGGCCTTTCCCCTCTGCAGATCTTACCATTGTGGACCTACTTATCATCAAGGTGAAGATTTCAAGGGGTCGCTTCTGAGGTTTGGAATCACAAAGACATTGCTACATTTGGCTGGAAGAGATTCCTCCTCCTTGCTGACATCTCGCTCTCCCTTTTCACAAATTCTCTCGTTTTTATGGGATGATTGGTTTCTCTCTCTCTTTGTCTGCGTGCCGGATTTTTATTTTTGGATCAGCTTTGTTTTAATAGTGAAATTACAGGCACAGATTTCAATGTATTTAATAAATTATTCTGAGAAAAACTGGAAAGCGGTTTGGTGGATTTCTCTTCCTGTTCCTATAGGGCAGTGTTTCCCAACCTTCCTAATGCTATGACCCCTTAATACAGTTACTCATGTTGTGGTGACCCCCAACCATAAAATTATTTTTGTTGCTCCTTCATAACTGTAATTTTGCTCCTGTTAATGAATCGTAATGTAAATATCTGATATACAGGATGTATTTTCATTCACTGGACCAAATTTGACCCAAATACCTGATGCACCCACATTTGAATGCTGGTAGGGTTGAGGGGATTGATTTTGTCATTTGGGAGTTGTCGTTGCTGGGATTTATAGTTAACCTACAATTAAAGAGCATTCTGAATGCCACCAATGATAGAATTGAAAAAAACTTGGCACACAGAACACCCAACTGTGAATACTGGTGGGGTTGGGGTTAGGGTTGATTTTGTCATTTGGGAGTTGTAGTTGCTGGGATTTATAATTCACCTACAATCCAAGAGCATTCTAAACTCCACCAGCAATGGAATTGAACCAAACTTGCACACAGAACTCCCACAGCCAAAAGAAAATACTGGATGAGTTAGGTGGCCATTGACTTTGAGTTTTGGAGTTGTAGTTCACCTACATCCAGAGAGCACTGTGGACTCAAACAATGATGGATTTGGACCAAACTTGGCATGGATACTCAACATGCTCATATGTGAACACTGGTGCAGTTTGGGGGAAATAGACCTTGATATTTGGGAGTTGTTGTTGCTGGGATTTATAGTTCATCTACAATCAAAGAGCATTCTGAACCCCACCAATGATAGAATTGGGCCAAACTTTCCACATAGAACCCCCATGACCAACAGAAAATACTGTGTTTTCTGATGGTCTTCAGTGACCCCTCTGACACCCCCCTCGCAACCCCCTCAGGGGTTCCAACCCCCAGGTTAAGAAACACTGCTATAGGGTACCAGGTTTCAAGGCCTGGAACCTTTTCTCCAGACCTTACAATGAGGAAAAGGAATCCCAGGGTAAGAGCACCACTTTGAAACTTCTTATATGTGTGTCTGTGTGTGCATATGTGTGTGTATCAATGAGGGTGGGTCAAAAAGGTTCGCTTCCAGTGTCATAAAAACATTAAGAACCTATAACAGCAGAAGTTGCTCCAGATCATAGCCTGAATCTATACACAACTACCGCTCAACATAATCACCATCAATATGTACACATTTGTGCACCAGGCATCCAAAGCATTTGGGAAAATTTTCTGAATTTTGCTTTGTGGCCCATGATTTTAAAGCTGTTTTCGTGTCATTCAAGTCATTGAATCTGAAACTTTCAAACTTCTTCACCCAATGTCGCACATTGCTGATGTCCATTACAGCATCCCCATAAGCATTCTTCAAACGATTATGGATTTCCTAAGGTGCCAGAAATTCAATGATGACTCTTTCTTTTAGCTTCAGATTCTTGGTTCGAATCAGTTAATTGAAAAAAGACTCTTATCAGTAGGGTAAGGGTACCTCCATCATATATAAACCCCATTTTCCTAGTTTCCAGCAGACCTCACAACTTCTGAGGATGCCTGCCACAGATGCAGGAGAAACGTCAGGAGAGAATGCTTCTGGAATATGGCCAGACAGCCCGAAAAACTTACAACAACCCATTGAAGAAGGTTGCTATTTCCACTTTTTTTCTCCCTCCCTTCTTTCTCTGCTGCAGAATTTCAACTCAACCATAAGCCAGCCCTAACACCCCTAAGTTGTCCGTGATTCCTACATGTTGTCCATCAAGCACACTATTTTGCTGGAAGGACACATGCGGGTGTCTCGCTCCCCGCTGCCCTTGGCCGTATTCCTGACAGATCACTTTGTGCCTTGAATGAGAGGCCCTTCTTCTTATGGAAGGGACTTGCAGGCATCCTCCTGGCCTCCTTTTTCGCAGACGCTGCAGCGTAATTGCTCTTGCCAAGCTTCCTCGTCTGGTGACCATCAGAGACCCAACCGCAAAGGCTGGAAAACCTCCGGGAACAATTTTCCTCGTTCAATTTTGCACCGCGTTCTGGAAAGACATTTTGCTGCTGGAGGCAGAAAGGCATTTATAATGGCAGTTGATGGCTTTGAAGTCAGCTGAGAAGTGGATGTGGTTCGGTTTTTCAGTCCAAGGGCTGGAAGGGGTCAATAGAAAAGAAACCAAAATGCTGAAAAGATTTTGAGAGCAGGATCGGAAGTTGGGTATGTTTACCTCGGAGAAGAGATTTATTTATTGATTTATTTACAGTATTTATACTCCACCCTTCTCACCCTGCCGGGGACTCAGGGCAGATTACAATGTACATATACATGAAAAACATCCAGTGCCATAGACACACAACATATATAGATAGACACACATTCCAGCTTTTTTGATGAGGGTATTCTGTCCACCAGGGGAGCTGTCACTTCATAGTCCATTTGTGACACTGATGAAGTACTTCCTCATTCTTTGCATTCTTGCTGGAGATTTTTATGACGTTGTAAATTAGTTAAATTAGCCTCCCCGCATACGCAGTACCTAAATTTCCTACTTGACAGAGGCAACTGTCTTTCAGGCTGCAAAGGTTGACAGCAAGCTACACAAATTAGTCGGAAGCTCACTCCAACCCGACCTTTCGGAGAAGGCGGCAAAGAGGGGACGCGAGAGCCATGTTTAAATATTGTTAAGGATGTCCCATCGAGGAGGAATGGGCAAAGTTTGTTTTCTGCTGCTCTGGAGACTGGGACACTATGGAGCAATGGATTCAAATGGCAGGAAAAAGAGATTCCAGCTTGTTGTGTGATCCTGGATTCATTGCTGAACCTGGAACCTCAGGTTTTGGCAGTGACCAGGGGAGCATTTGCACAATTAAAACTTGTGCATCAGCTGCACCCGTACCTTAGGAAGTCTGACTTGGCCACGGTAGTCCACACTCTGGTTACATCCCATATAGACTACTGCAACACGCTCTACGTGGGGTTGCCTTTGAAGACTGTCCGGAAGCTTCAAATAGTCCAACAGATGGCAGCCAGATTGCAAACAGGAGTGGCACTCAGGGAGCGTACAACTCTTCTGTTGAGCCAACTCCATTGGCTGCCAGTTTGCTACTGGGCACAATTCAAAATGCTGTCTTTAGCCTATAAAGCCCTAAATAGTTCTGGCCCAACTTACATGTCTGAACGGAATAGCTATGGGGTCTCTTCCAACTCTAGGATTGTATGCTGAATTCAAATCCAGTAGCTCATTCAGACAAAAAAATGGAGTGGATTCAGCATCTCATTGACAGGGGAGCCCCAACACGACTTGTAGTTTGGCGAGGCACCAGCACACTTGCGCAGTCAAGGTTAAAGACCTGATCAAACTACAACTCCCAGGATCCCATAGCATTGAGCCATGGTAGTTAAAGTGGCATCAAAGGGCATTAATTCTACAGTGTTGAAATGCGCCCTGCGAAGTTTCCAAAATTGCAGAAATTTGGACCTGAAAGTGACCACCATTTTCCATCTCTGTTGTAAAAGAAATCGAGAAATGGGTCCCTGGAACAAAACAAACCAAGATGTGCTCTGTGTCTATTGCCCTATCTATCTATCTATCTATCTATCTATCTATCTATCTATCTATCTATTCCCCCATCTGTCTGTCTGTCTGTCTCTATTCCCTTATCCATCCATCCATCCATTCTATCTGTCTGTCTGTCTTTTCCCTTATCCATCCATCCTATCRATCRATCRATCRATCRATCRATCRATCCTARCTARCTARCTARCTARCTKRRTATTCAMCRATCRATCWATCWATCWATRRATCRATCWATCTATCTATCTATCTATCTATCTATCTATCTATCTATCTATCTCTTTATTCAGCCATCRATCWATCWATCWATTCKTCCATCAATCTTATCTATCTATCTATCTATCTATCTATCTATCTATCTATCTATCTATCTATCTATTCCTCTATCTATRRKTCTATCTATCTATCTATCTATCTATCTATCTATTCCTCTATCTATCTATCTATCTATCTATCTATCTATCTATCTATCTATCTATCTATCTATCTATCTATCTATCTATTCCCGTCTGTCTGTCTCTCTCTATTCCCTTATCCATCCATCCATCCATCCATCCATCCATCCATCCATCCATCKATCTRATCWYTCTGTCTYTCTGTCTATCTATCTATCTATCTATCTGTCTGTCTGTCTGTCTGTCTGTCTGTCTGTCTGTCTGTCTGTCTYTCTAAGAAATGAGAAAGCAAGGTGAGATGTGCTGAGTGGCTGCCTATGTATGTGTGCATTGCCTATCTACTATCTATCTATCTATCTATCTATCTATCTATCTATCTATCTATCTATCTATCTATCTATCTATCTTTCTATCTATCTAATCTATCAATCTATATCTATCTATACAGGAATTCAGAAAGCATGGTGAGATGTGTTGAGTAACTGCCCATGTATGTATGTATTTCCTATCTATCTTGTGGTGTCAGAGCGCAGTCTGTTTAGCGTCTTCCAAGTTGCCTAGTTTTCTGTGAGGGGGAGTTTCTCATCCGGTCTCAACCACTGATTGAGGTTCTAGGTTTTTGCCTGCCACTTTTGGACTCTTGCTTGCTGAGGTATTCCTGCGAGCATCGCTGTAGGTCTTAGGAAGCTATTTCTTGATTTAAGGGGTTGGCTTGCTGGCTGATATCCAAACAGAGGATGGACTGGAGAGGTCACTGCCTTGGTCCTTTCATTGCTGGCTGCTATTTACCTGTGGATGTCAGGTGGTGCATTACTGGCTAAACAGAGTAGCAACACGCAAGGGCGGATGTCTTCCTTGTCTGGTTGTGATGCCCAGATTGTGCCAACTTCTTTCTAGCACCCACTTTTTGCTTGATATTCAAGCAGTGCTTCTTGTAAGCCAGAGCACAGTCCAGAGCACAGTCCAGGAGTCCAGTGTGACTCCTAGGTATTTTGGTGCGCCGCAATGCTCCAGTGGGATTCCTTCCTGGGTCATCCTCAGAGCTTGAGAT